GACCACCGAGCTTGCCGGGTAAGGGCAAACCTGTTATATATAATTAACATCTCCCCAACGCAAAAATACATCTTGAAAAATGACAGTACATGTTCCCAAAATTATATCAGATTAATTGTTTTGAAAATTATATATAGGTTAAGTAGACATGGACAGTATTTCATTTTCTTATGGTGATAGTGTATTTGTGATAAAAATACTGTGACTGATATTCACACATACAGCAGTATTCTTTGATGTGGGGTTTACATTTTGTACATCATCAAAAAGCAGTGGCGATAAGAACGTTCAATGTGAATGCTGATAAATGTGGATCAGCATGGAAGTTGTCACCTTTCATTTATCAATCCAGCTATTTTCACATAGATTTTATTCATGACAGAATAATAACAAAAGAGGGTTAAATTTGCTAATTTAGGCAAGAATGATGCAGTATTCCAACAAGGAAAATCAAAATTGAAAATGACAAAACAAGTTCTCAGGTTCCCAGTACATGTATATGGTGGCCTATCACTGCCATTCGATTTTCTTTCAAACTTTTGTCCTTTCCCCTCAAATCACATACATGTACCAAATCCAAATTCACTAACCTCAGACTAAGAAAACTGAAAGTGATCTTTGTTAGAGGCTACATGTGTGCCAGTGCTGTAGTTGGGTCTAGCACAGGTCCCAGCAAGCAAAGCCAGCACAATGTATTTAAAAGTGAGGCACTTAAACTTGTAGCACCAGCTTAAATACAGGATTGCATGCGTGAAAACTTATCCTGACAAATGTAAGTACAAATAATCACACACCCAGATTGATATAAACATAATTGTGATAAGCATGTGTTTTAAAATTACATGTAACAATGTGTTGTTAGCTTCAAATAAAATATATATGTATTGTTGCTTTGTTTGAAAGGTTACATGTATTTCATTATTGAGCCCGACACTGTTTTTGGTTCCATTCATCACAAGCAAATTGATTGTAAGCACACACAAGCCTGTGGAAGTACATTTGTATCACTCCAACATTTGTACACTTTCTTATGTTGACATACAGTACATGTACATGTACAGTAGTCGCTGGCCAGGTGAAAGTTACAAAATGTGATGTAATACATTCTACATGAAAGCGAGCACTTGCATGAAGCCTGTGGCTTAATTTAATATTCATAGCCATTAAATTTGAGAGTCCACTGACCTGTTACTGATTAGTTCTCCCCTTTACATGAATTATACGAGGGGTTGAAAGTTCTATAAAACTGAAGAGATCACTGCAAACTACTCACAGACTGAGAACTACATGTATATAGTAAATCAATACCAAAGTAGTGTGATTTTCAGAATTTAGCAAATTCTTTTTCAGAGAAAAAAGAGAACTGAAAAAAGAACTTGCTAAGTTTGGAATGTCTGGACACACTACTTTTTCATTGTTATAAATGTTCTCATATATGTGTATATATTACTGGGACTAGCTGCAAATCCTTAGTTCTCACATTAAAATCTTCAGTACACCAAACAAGAAACACAGTAGTACATGTACATGTACCTGTGGGTGATATTGATTGGACTGAAGTACATGTACATGTACATGTATCCTTGTTCCTTGATCCACCTGAGCTAGAATTTGAAGTACCAGTACTTCTCTAATCTTTCATATACATGTAGCTCTTTTCGTCATCTCTCAATTTTAGACAAAGTGCATTAGCAAGGGCATCTAGAGTTAAAAATCAAACTCTGTCAAACTCTGTTAAGAAAAAAGATTGAAAAGTTCTATGTACTGTAGGAATGCCTTGTGGTGGGACTGTTGTGAAAAAAGTTTAGCGTTTCTTTTAACTGCAGAAATGTTATCGCAATGGAAGGCTTCTGTGGAAGCCATTCCAATCTTTGCATGACCTACATGTATGGACATGGTTTGAAGAAAATGCTCAAATTTTCTGTCTGCCAGAAATGATTTTGTAACAGTTTATTCCTTTTTAAGACCTAAAAACTTTTTAAAGCAAAAATAATGGCGTTCATATATAAACTCTTTTCAGTGTTTCAAATGTGAATGTCCCTAATGTTTTAGTGCCGAGTGACCTCCACACAAGGAAACCTTTCTGAAAGAAATTACAATAGGCCTACCTGGTTTGATGTCGAAGGGCCGTGTAAGACAGAATCTCAAGCATCCTGAAGGTCTCGGTGGTTGCATCTAAGGAAAGCATGCATAGTGGCCATGATACTAGTCTCGGTACCCTTATCCATGTGAAGATAAGTATGTCCACCATGTGTACATATTATGCCTAATAATCCCCATACACCAGAACATGTTGTCATTTTATAAATCTGAAGGTGCATATTTGTATTTTACATGATCAAAGTCACTCTTTTAGAAGTTTTGAAAAATGACAGCCGAAGTTGCATTTTGGTCCATTTTATGCAGAACATGCCATATATGTACAATGTTTATCTGGGGTATATACCTGGGTACCGTATTACACTGTATGTCCGAATGCATGTACATGTACAAGTACGTGTACATGTACGTAGTCAGTGTCACAGTAGTGTACACGTCTCATGTGTATGGTACGTGTACATGTACATACATGTATGGATGTACATGTATGTACCGGTACTTGTACATAATGTACTGGTACATGTACATGTAGGGTATCATGTACATTTTGTAAATGTGTACATCAGACTGATTCTTTGAGTCATGAAATAGTTCAGGTGACATTTGGAAGTCGTCTTTGTACACACATGTATCATACATGATGTACATGTGCCACACATGAGGTCTCAAAAACAGCCAGTAATTCATCATGGCTGCCTTACCAGATGCAAGACTTGTGCTTGCAATGCACTTGTTTGTCAGGCTCATGTGCTATTGACATTGAGTTTATGAGTAATCCTACCCAAGGGGGTTTCCTGTAGGGGGTTGCCCATCCTGAAATGATCTGATTGTCATTCATAATTGAGTTACTACATGTAACCTGTGTATTTTGTACTTTCAGGGAAACCCTTGAATGGCATTTTCTTTTTTACATCAACACAGACATTGTGAATATTTCTGGCTTAGTAGCAAAACAATATTTTTTGTTCTAATCATTTATGGCAAAGTACCGGTACATGTTTAACTCCAAACTCTGTTTACCTCGAAGTAACACCATCAAGACAGTAGGATATTATCATCCATGATAAGTATGGTAGATACAATGTACATGTATCTACATGAAAAGCTCCATCACTGGACATTCTTACACATTCGTTTTGTTAAAACTTCAATACAAAGAAACTGCTGCCAAACAGTCACGAACAAGTGTAAATAGATTGGAAAACTTTTTCATGAGTCATTATTCCCCAGTGCACTCCATCATTCCTGCTGAGATATGGTGAGCACTCTATACACTACCATTGTGATCAAGGGCAATTCCACGGTTAATTTCGTTACATTTTTCAGCTCCTCAGCATGTTGGGAGCTGCTTTATTACCATGTACATGTAGCTTGCCTAATAATTCTGAATAAGGTACCACAGATGCATGGTACCCAGACCTGCAACACCTCAATAGGAAAACAAAATAGACCTTTTATGTAAGATGTGGCAAGAGTGTTATTTCAGTTATGTTACAAAAAATGGACATGCAAAAAAAATGCACATCTGCTTATCAAAAGTTTGCTTATTTGGAAAAACAGCTAAACCAAAATTTATTTGTTCTGTTATCTGTTCTGTCACTTCCTGCAAAATAGTTATTATTTTGA